AAACCGTACGGTGAGAGGAGCGGAGAACCTTTTAAATTTATTCCTTCAGGACGTTCCAACGTGGGCAAAAACGACGCCTTTTCGCGGTCGTTTCGAAGCTTTCCGAAAATTCGTACAGCGACCAGCAAGCAGCGGAGTATCGCCGTTGAACCACGCCGGAAACTTTTCCGCTCGCGCGTGCTCTTCTTCGTTCCGAGCGTTCAGTTTCTAATTTTCCTGCGCTCGTTGCAGAACACAGAAAACTCCGAAAGTCCCACCTACTCCTCCTTGCTTCCACACACCGGTTTGCCCCGTTCGTCGTGCCCTTGCACACACCGGCTTCGACGGTGAAATAATTAACGTGGAAAGTTTCCGCGCGATTGAAAGATCCCGCGTTGCGATAGAGGGGTGCCGTTGTAAAGTGGATCGTCGGCGAGCAAGCGACATTAATTAAAATCGTAGAGTTTAAGCCCACCCACTAACCCTACACCTCGTCCCTCTTCTTGCCTGATTCCTTGTCCCCTTCGATCGAGGCTGTAAGGTTCGACTAGCGGGGATATCATTTAAGGATTCTGGACACGAACGATCGAACGCTATCGGCCTCGTTGAAGGTTTTTCACTACGGCACATTGGTCAAACGGAAGAAGATTCACTAGTGCGCCAGCGAGATACCGTTTGTAATTCGTGCAGTAAATTAGGCATAAGTGCATCCGGTCGATTGGTTCTTAGGTGGGAAGTTGCTCGCGTAATGGCTGTTTGGATGATAGTTCCGCGTGAAGGAGGAGAGTTGATAATTGAATTGTTAATTGAGGAGATTTCGTTATTGCCTTGGTGTTTGATTAAGCGAATTTGTTGACCGAGTGAATTTACCTCTCGACTCAGATTTTCCCTGTTGATGATTTTAGTTGGAAGTTAAGCGGGAAAGTTCGTTTCAGGTGAACTCTCAACCATGGTGTTTTCTCGTAAGACGTTTTATTTTGTACGGAAAACGTGTAAAATAGAGATAGACGATTTTTCATCGCTTTGTGCTTGGAAATTGTGTCAGACTAGTCATCAGAACGTTCGTTAGTTGTTGTACGTCATGGAAACGTAATTAGAAGCGCGTGTTACTTTTCCTATCGAATGCAATTGGAATACGCCACGGACGGACTTCAATTAAAGTATATATATATATATATCGAATCTCCACGCTTGATGATCATCACAAAGGAATTTCTGTTTCCGTGTTGTTAATTGGATCTAATTCGAACGAACAGCATATGTTTATTAAACTCTGTAATTGTCGTATATAATTTCTTTCTCTTGCCAAAGTTTCAGTCATGATGTTTTTCACTACGAACCTTTCCTTCGACCTCGTCGAACGAACGATTTTGCACAACTGACTGTCGATCGGTGGGCAACCAAAACAAAATACGTCCTCGAAGGTTGTACACGGGAGAAATACGAAGGATATGTGTATACACGAGAATGTACGAGGCGGAGATCGGTTTGTTCGGGAGAAGTTCGCGACGCGGTGAAAATAGAAACGGAAGAAAAGGCAGAAATGGCGAAAGGGGCGGCCGCGTGGCAGCCACGGAAGAAGAGAGAGAAACCTTGCTACGGAGAACGGAGAACGAAAAAGCAGCGCGTGTGCTCGTTTAAACGAGCTGCCAACGAGTAATTAATCAGCGTTAACATGCACTCTTTACTGCGCGCATAATGAAGCCGATTAGATGCGCGTCGAAGCTTTCATCTCTTCAGACTGCGTCTCTCTCGTTAGACGGACTGGTTTCGCCGATACCGCGGAAGAAGAAAGAACCACGAGGATTTCGAAGGGACTAAACATCATTTGCGGCCTCTAACGATATCGTCGGTCTCCGCATAGATTTAATATTCGAAAACGCGACGTCTGACTCGGTAGACACGAGCACCTTGGGTTCGTACGACAGTGTTCTTCAATTTTTTATTTCGAATTCTACGCTGCTGTCGATGCCTCTGACGTTTCTCGCGATTTGGATCAATTTGAAGTGAAATAGAAGGGAAATATAGAAGAGTATTTCGATCTGTTGTGATTTATTCGTGTTTCTCCTTTTTCTTCTTTTTTTGAGAGAGTTTTTCGCAAAGTTTTTCTCTCGGTGAATGTAGAAATGGTTCGGTGAGATTTTCGAATGGAAAGCGAGGTTGAAGGACACTGACGTGGGGAGCAGATTATCTTACCAGCGACGCGGAAGTATACCTCCGGTATTACCGGTCGCTTCGCGAACTTACAAGAGGATATTCAGATCGATCATTCCGGTTGAATATTTTCTGGTAATGGAACGTGGAGCCGCGTAACGATGTACTTGGATAGAGAAGCGTGTATCGCGAATGATTGCTTCTTCCGTGGATCCGTTGTAGATAAAGGTAGACAATTTTCTGTCTTTTAATGATTGCTAGAATGATCGGATTATATTTCGGTTTCAAGTGAAATTATATTGGCTCAGTCGAGACTCTGCGACTCGTGACAGTTTCTTCGAGATGTGAACATGTAAAAAAAAAATACTCAACTTGTATGTTAAAATTATTGCTTATTATTAATTAAAAATATGTAGGTATAACGTGTTTTTTTATGTTTTAGAATCTACTACTTAAATTGTGTTAATAAAGAGGTGAAAATAAAACGTTTTCGTAAATAAAGATATATTGACATCGGTGAGTGAATTTCGAGACACCTTGTAGATTCGATTTCGTGCAAATTCGATATGGGGGCGAACGTTTTTACGTATTCGTTACAGTGAATCCTTATGGAGCGCCATAAACTATACTGAATTCGAGAAAAAAACAAAAAAGAAATGGTTAACTTTTTTGCCTCGAAATTCCGACCGCAGACGCACCTTGTCTGATTTCGCAGAAGTATAATACTATGCTGCGCGCGCAAAAAGGAAGAGAAATCGAGCGTGTTGCATACACGGCCCTATTCATCGACTATCTTATTGCTCGTCGAGCGAACGATAAATACCTTTGTACAACCTCAATCGCTTGTAAATACGAAATTGGGATACAAAGAATGCTTGTGGTACGTTTCACGTGCTGTGTGCACTTGAAATAAGGTCACACTCATAGGTTGGTATTTCTACTATGCACTTCCCGCCAAAATTACCATCGAAAGAAATCATTGAGAAATGAAAGACTCACCAACTGCAGATCACACGATCTATCTCCGTCGAATTTTTATTCACGCTGTGGTAGATGAGAAATTTACAGCGAAGAGTGTGGTAGAAATTATGGTGATTGTCGTAAAGTTCTTGCATGGTTAAATTGTTTTTCGAGAAAAATCTGTAATTAAAACTGTGTTTGTTAATTATTAAATGGATACTGCGACGCAACGTCAATATTACTATTAATTAAAATTCACTGAAGTAGAACGATAAAATTTCGTAATGTATTGCGTTGCAACTGTTTTCACTAGCTTTAACGTGATTCAACTTTTAAGAAAACGGAAATGCGCCATTCGTAGCAGTATTGCAATTCAAATACGTACCCAGAATGCATTTCTGATTCCTCTTTATTATTTATACATCTTCGTTCAACTGTAACGTCGATTCAATTGTTAAACCGTTAAGAAAAAGATGTTTTAAATTTGAAACTTCACTAGCACACCTCACTTTCGATCTTT